TTCCAGTCAAATATGGTTGATATCCACTTCTTAGTTCCAGAGAAGAAGTCGCTTAAAGCAGTATAGCCAAATACCCTTTTTGGCCCTGCCCCTCAGCCCCCTGGGGGGTCAGCCCCACCATTTGTACAATTTTAAATCCCTGCCTCCCAGGAATGCTTTTGATCAAATATGATTGATATCCAGTGCACAGTTCTACAAAAGAAGTCGCTTAAAGCAATATGGGCAAATTGACCCCTTTTGGCCCCGCCCCTCAGCCCCCTGGGGGGTCAGCCCCACCATTTGTACAATTTTGAATCCCCACCACCTAGGGATGCTTCCAGTCAAAATTAGTTTAATTCCAACCAGCGGTTAAGAAGAAAAAGTCGTTTAAAGAAATTGTTGACGTACGGACGGACGGACGGACGACAGACGCAACGGTATGGCATAATTATAAGCTCACCTTGGTCCTTCGGACCAGGTGAGCTAATAAAATAGTTGTAATTAAGTCAGGGTAATTTTCCGGAACCTGTATCCGTTTTACCATTGTCAACACATTCCATGAATGTTCTTGTCTTTTGCGTTAAATCGACATCTTGGAATACGACAGGTTTGATGTTTCTGTGTTCAAACGATCTAATCAAGCGTACTGTCACGGTACCACAGGATATGTCGTCTGTCATTCTCTCGGAAATTTCGGAAACACGCTGGATCTGCTTGCGGGAAATCCCTGTTATCCTGTGTCAGTAGGACGCTTTAAAATAATCCGGAATTAAAAAATATATAAACTTATTGTCGTAGAAACTGCTTGTGTGCATTTAATATCAGATACACTGAAATGTTAAATGTGAGGTTCATTTACATCATAATATATTAGTTTAACTTATACGACTATTTTTTTCATCAAATGTACGAAAATGAAACCGGTTTTAATTTTACTATCTGCTGTTTTAAGCGTCAAGAAGATATCGACAACGTTTCATGCAAAATTGAAGTCTGGTGGTGCAATTTTCTGTATTTAAAATAGCTAAAATTTGCTATCTTTAGTATGACGTCATGATAACTGTATATAAGTTCAACAAAAAAGTCAAAATGGCATTACGTACGCCAATCAACAACAGCCAAGAGGTGTGTATGATAGGTTGTTCAGACAGTATACAGGAAGCCGTCTGGAGGCGTACCCCTGCGTCTCGTCGTTTGGCGTGTTCGTTCTTCAATATTACCGGCTTGAAACCATTTGGCATGTGACAGAAATTTGAAGGAATTAATTCACTTTATTTTATGTTTCAGTTATATTAACTAAACAGTCCAGACTATCTTGGCTGAAAAAAATGGGACATCTTCTAGTTCCTGCCCTTGAGTTTAATTTTTGGTCGGAACATGACTTGGGACATTTAGAAATGATGAATGAGAGGCATTTGGTATTTTTATTACACAATCGTTTTCTTAAATTTCATTGTTGAAGTACATGTTTTTCTCTCAAATTTACAGAAAGAAGAGAAAACGCGAAAAGAAAGAAATTTAAAAAATGGCTGTAGCATGTGAGATATTAACATTATCAACAAATATGGATCCGAATCAACAGTTTTATATTAACCAACAAGGACAGCAGGGATACTTTGATCTATCCCAGCTTTACTATCCACCTCCTTCACCACAATTTCAAAGTCCTGTTTTTCAACCATTTCACCTCACAGGTCCACCACAATATTGTCAACCTCCACAAAACTTTAATAATAATAATTCATTAGGTGGACCACCAATGCCTTTTCATGGTCAAGAAATGAAACAGCAAGTTGGTTATAACAGAGGTCATGGACATAAAAGGGGAGGTGGGACGAGGGGAAAGGCAAGGAATTCGTATAATAATACCAATAATAATCCTCCGAAAAATTACCAATCTAATCCCAATAAGGTAGCAGTTCAAGCAGATGAATCAAAATCATCAAATTCTGTTGATGAATATTTACAAAGTTACATAGATGGTGCATTTGATAGTGAAGAACCTGCCAAGACGGAGTCTAAAACTAAGTCAAAAGGAGCACCAAGTCAACAGAGAAAAAATGGTAATCGTCAAGGAGAAAGTAGATTTGAGAATAGAGGTAATAATCAGCGACAACAGTATGACAATTATAGGGAAAATATTGAAAATAACCCACATTATTATGGTAATCGAGGAGGACGTGGAAGAGGACGATATGAAGGGTCAAGGTCATATCATGATCAAGACAGGAGGTCATATAGTTCAAGAAATAGAAAAGATGATTTGGATAGAGTAAGGGATTCTAAAGACTTACCTTCAAGTCTTAAAGAAAAAATCAATGAAAGAAAGTATGGTAAAAAGGTAGATAATTCTACGGTCATTGGCAGTAACATTGGTCACGATGAAGAAGGACCTAGTGGAGAAAGCCAACCATATTATAAGGATAGGAACTCAAAACTTGACGACAGGCAACAGTTCAATAATAGACGAGGTCAAAGGTCAGGTAGAGGAAGACAATCCAACCAGGGCCGTTCATTCCAGAGCAGACAACAAGACGATGATTATGATCCTCAGAACGAAATTGCTTCAAATAACTTGCAGGATAAAAATAGACAACCGTATCCAGGCCGTGATAAATATCGCACGCCAAAGACTTTTAAAGGGTCACGAGGTCCAAGTCAGCGACACTTTATGGCAAGGACAATTTCTGGAAAGGTTGATGAGAGTCAGAGAGGTATATTAAGTAGTATGGTTATTGATTGTTAAGCTATCCTTATTCATATGATATTTTTTAGATTTATATGTAGCACATTTTTTATTTTATTTATTAACTTTTCTAATGATTACCAATGATCCTTTTGTGACAATTGGTTTCAGATTTAAGAATTTTTGAAAATATCAAACAATTTGAATTTTAAATCTTGTGTCAGTTAGGTAATTGAAACTTTGATTTTTTTTTAAATTCATTTCAGAAGATACATTGTAAGGTATAATTATTATGATTATTTCATATCATTTGCTCAAATTTTATTGCCAAATAGGTGTTCTGATTGATCAGCTGACAAACAGTTCCTACGAGTGCATGGTGTGTTGTGAGACGGTGCGTTGCCAGAATGCTGTATGGAACTGTTCCAGCTGTTTTCATGTGTTCCATTTACACTGCGTTAAAAAATGGGCAAGAACTTCTGCAGCTAATGAAGAAGGTAAGTTGGTCATTGTATTCATTTTTATTAAAACCTTGAAAAAACATTCTATAAAATTTGTTAAAGGTATGTTTCCCTTTGGAGACTTTTTAAAGTGATGGATTAAAGTGAGAAACCTCTGAACATCTATAAATTGTTAGTCATGATGCTTTGGTTTGTTTAAACAGTAAAACCTACTTTGGTCCGGGGATAGTTTATTTTGGTATTGTTTCTTTTAAACCTTCTGAAATAGTTGGGAACTATTGTTTCTGTGTATAATTGATGCATATAATCTTGGCACTTAAGTCAAGTGAACCGAATTTTGTACAATTTAATGTAGCAAGTCTGGATGTTTTTGTCACAGTGGAAGTGTTACTCCCAAACAATATATCTTATATTTTTAATGTTAAGAAAAACAGACAATACTTTTATAATGCTAAAAAATCTGGAAGAAGAACGCATGTTAAGTATGTGAACTGAATAATCAGAAATCATTAAGTCAAGTCTAACTAAATCTAATTTGAACTGGTATCTTTGAAATGAAATCATTTTTTTTTTTTACTTATGACAGGTGAAGACAGTGGATGGAGATGTCCAGCCTGTCAAAACACATGTGACAAGTTCCCTTCCCAGTACAGATGTTTCTGTGGTAAGTCCTACATCTATGGTAGATCATACATTTGTGGTAGGTCATACATTTACGGTAGATCATACATTGTGGTCGGTCATACATCTACAGTAGATCATACATCTATGGTAGGTCATACATTTGTAGTAGGTCATACATTTGTAGTAGATCATACATTTGTGGTAGGTCGGGTCATACATTTGTGTTAGGTCATACATCTATGGTAAGTCATACATCTATGGAAGATCATACATTTGTAGTAGATCATACACATGTGGTAGGTCAAGTCATACATTTGTGAATTGTCATACATCTATGGTAAGTCAAACATCTGTGGTAGATCACACTTTTGTGGCAAGTCTTTTGTGGTAACTTATGCTTCTTTAAGGCCAAACATTTTATATCAAAGACAAGAATACTGCTCAAAATCCTATAACGTGTGAAATGTAATTATTTTTCAAAATTGTTCCGAAACATTTAGCTAGATTTGTATAAAGAAAATTGAGTAAAAAGAAAGTTAATGTACCAGACCAATGCAATGAGTTTCTTTGATATTACCAGGCAAAGTGAGAGACCCTGAATTTAATCGCATGGAGATCCCACACAGCTGTGGTGAGATGTGCAGAAGGAAAAGAACAGATAACTGTCCTCACCCCTGTAACATGTGAGTATAACCAATGATTATTTATATAAAACACAGTGACTATTTTTTACCTATGTTTTATCTAGGAGCTTCAGGATATCTGGTGGTTTTTTTTTATCCAAAACCATTTACCCTACACTATATTATATACCCTTTTAATCTTGACAATAAGCCTGATTTGAAAATTAAATGTCTTTGAAAATAAGAATTTTTGCAGGCAAACATATCTCGAAAAATAAGCCGTCTTAGAAAATAGACTGGCCTTGAAAAGATGCCGAAGATACTAGACAGGAGTCACATTTTCGTGTTAGCATAAATATGTTGTACAGGTAAGAATCACAAAACAAATTTTATTATAGCACCGATTTTATGAAAAAAATAACTAGTTTCAATAAAAAAATATAAATAGAATTATATTTTTCCATGTGAAAAAAAGTAAGAACTTAATGGCTTACTGTAACTGCCTTGAAAACAAACTGGCTTTTGAAAATAAGCCAGAGGTTCCTTACTGAAAATAAAAATAAGCTGCATCTGTTTTCAAGATTTAACGGTATTAAAGAAAGCTAGATTTTCTCTATACAAAAAGGAGCGCTTGCTTTGACTTTTCCAAATGGCAGAAAATTTGATGTAAAACTTGATGACATTATGCCTGTGTAACATTACAAATCAAAAAGCATCAAGTCACTTAATGTTGATTGACACATTGAAGTTAATATCAATGATATAATTCTTCAGCTAAAAATGATCAAATAAATCAGTTATTTGATAAACATTAATTAATCACTTACGCTCTTTAGTGTCAATGTGTCTTTTGTCGAAGTGATGAATTTGACTTAGTTCAGAGATTATTTTTCCTTAACATCAGACAAGAAACATGATTGGTGATGGGTTGAATCATTTGCCAAGTTGGTCTTGACACCCTTGTTGCGTGCTGTAGATAAATGGACTGCTTGAATCTCCTTTGCAGGCTATGCCATCCTGGTCCCTGTCCACCATGCAATGCTGTCATCAGTCGCTCCTGTGATTGTGGGAAAACCAGGTAAGCATGATTTGTCAGTAGTTATACACTCTAGAATGGATAAACATGTACCTATGTAGCAGAAAAGAAAAAATGCAAAGCTAGACCACGATTCAAACCCAGGACCTCAGAACTCTAGAGGGACGCTGACACCAATTGAATAACCCGGTCGCCTGCACTAATTTTTAATGCAGGGTTATTTTAGGTCATGTCTAAATGCAGTATTTAAAATGATAGACTCAATGTAAAATATTTACTCTAGTGTAATTTACAGTGGAACCTTGATTGGCCAGCTACCTTTGTTTTCCAGCAATAGTGTCATAATTGTAAGGTGGCTGCTTTTATAATATATAGGCTAAACTGTCTCCTAAAAGACTGGCTTGATCGCGAGACAACATGATTAGTGAGGCATGATTTAATAAGACACAACCATATTTGGTTAACATGTATTTTTCCCTGTTACAGCCAGACCATGAAGTGTAGTGCGTCTCAGGTTATCAAGTGTGAAGAGAGATGTGGTAAACAGCTCAACTGTGGTAAACATTTCTGTAAAGTTACCTGCCATGCTGGGTCGTGTTCCATGTGCGAGGAGGTCGTCGTACAAGGTGAGGATATGGAATTTCCTCATATTACCATTGTAAGGTCACCTTTGACTTGGGGTAATGCTCTACATTCAAGGAAGGTCTTTCTTGTGTTAACCCTTTCACCCCTATGTAACTTTAGTAGACTCTACCATGCATTGATATGGATGAATCGGTTATGGTCTCCAGTGGTGAAAGCGTTAAGATTGTGAGAGCACCTACTATGTAGGGCCATGTCTATTTGTGCTAGTCAGTAGAGAAGTAGTCTGTGATATCAACTTTTCCTTGTAATACATTTTTAGTGCTGTAATGATCTGTGTTACAGAGTTCTCTAAGGGACACAGCAGTAGAGATATATTCTGTGATATTTAAGGGTTTAAAACTCCACTAGCCTGTCACCAGAGGCTACCAGATTTTCAACATTGGTTATTGAAATTTTGAATCGTACTAGCCTTAGCCTAGTGACTTAAAACTGACACAGATGTTTTTGTTCAATTCTTTCGCTTAACCAATTAAAATTGGATTTATAGTAATTTTCACTACCTTACCTAGCAGAAGACATTAGTCATTAATGCTGCATAGACGATGCAAGATGTTCTGTTGCTTTTGTAGTTTTATATTTGAAGTGCTGTAATAATCTGTGTTACAGAGTGCTACAAGGGTCACACCAGTAGAGAAGTAGTCTGTGGAAGTAAGGAATCTTTTCAGTCCTCTTTCACCTGTGACAAACCTTGTCAAAAGTGAGTTATCTCCCCTGGTCATCTTTTGCATTTCATTTAGTTTTCATTTAGGTGGAAAAGGATTTTCATCGCATTCAAAAACTCAATTTGTGAACTATTATTGAACTATTATTGTCTTTTTAAATTCAAGTCTTACAAAGTTTGAATTATTTACTTTATAATACAACAGTGAATTGAAAAAAAACCTGCAGATTTTACTGTTGTTACAGTTATAGTTTGTTATGTTGTGTTTATCAATTACCATAATCAACCTAATCAGCACCTCCATCCCATGATAATTACAACAGAAATATAATTTCAAACACTGACTGATAGCTCTTAACTGATCCTCAACGATGATCAATTTATCATTTTATACCAACAGATTCTCAAAAACCAGAGGATATAAATATTGTCTGAATTATGTGAAGATTCATCAGTGTAGACAACACATTTCAGTAAATTTTAAATTAGTGATATATTAATAATCATAAAAACACAAAACAAAATATGATTATACTGGTATCTCACAATAAAAATGTAGGAAATCACATCTGTACATAATTTACAAAAATATTGAATGTGTGAATTTCACATTATGTATTAAATGTATGAAGTTCAATAAAACTTAATCCTTTTGACATATTTTTTGTAGGACACTGGAGTGTGGGAATCACACATGTGAAGAGATGTGTCACGATGGCCCCTGTGTCTCCTGTAGTTTGTCTCCGTCCACAGTGGTCACATGTCCATGTGGTGCCACCTCACTTACAGACCTCGGCTCCACTCCCAGGACTAGCTGTCTCCATCCTGTCCCCACATGTGAAGGTTTCTGTCACAAGGCTCTCAACTGTGGACCTTCAGGTAAATCATGAAAGACAAACCAATATAATCTAGTGCTCAAGTAAAGTTTATCATTTCATCAATGTTAAAAATTTCTGATATATCATCAATGTTGAAAAATTCTGAATATAGATTAATTATCATGTGTACAATATTGATGCTTATGTGAGGATCTAGACACGGAAAAGTCTTTGATGTGCTATTTGTAAAATTAGAGGAAGAAGGAAATAAGACACATGAGGACTGAGGAGGCACGGGAGTCTAGTGGTAAGACGCTGGGCTCGTGACCGAAAGGGTTGTGGGTTCGAGTCACTGCACGGCACTGTGTTGTACCTTTGAGCAAGATACTATACTTTGCTTGTTCCAGTCTACTCAGCTGTAAATGAGTACGTGATTGGGGAGTGCTAGAATTGTTGAATGCAAGCTGTGAGCACTGAAATGACAGCACTGGCTGTACACATGTATGTTCCCCAGGGAGTTGAGATAGATATGAGCTGGTTGCAAAAGGCTCTATAAACATGTGAACCGCTTTGAGACGACCTACAAACTAGGTTGCGATAAAGCGGTATATAAGAACCTCAAATTATTATTATTTATTAGCTCACCTGGCACGAAGTGCCAAGTGAGCTTATGCCGTGGTGCGGCGTCCGGCGTCCGGCGGGCGTCAATATTTTACTTTAAACGACTTCTTCTTAATAACCGAAAGGCCTAGGGTGATGATATTTGGCCAGAAGCAAACTGGGATGAAGGGCTACCAAGTTTGTTCAAATGAATGACCTTCACCCATATTCAAGGTCACAGGGGTCAAATATGTTAAAAACATTAAACAACTTCTTCTCAATAACCAAAATGCACAGGGTGATGATATTTGGCCAGTAGCATGCTAAGATGAAGGGCTACAAAGTTTGTTCAAATGAATGACCTTCTCCCGTATTCATGGTCACATGGGTCAAATATGTTTAAAACTTTAAACAACTTCTTCTCAATAACCAAAATGCCCAGGGTAATGATATTTGGCCAGTAGCATGCTGAGATAAATGGCTGCAAAGTTTGTTCAAATAAATTACCTTCACCCATATTCAAGGACACAGGGGTCAAATATGTTAAAAACTTTAAACAACTTCTTCCCAATAACCAAAATGCACAGGGTGATGATATTGGGCCAGTAGCATGCTAAGATGAAGGGCTGCAAAGTTTGTTCAAATGAATGACCTTCACCCATATTCAAGGTCATAGGGGTCAAATATGTTAGAAACTTTAAACAACTTCTTCTGAATAACCAAAATGCCCTGGGTGATGATATTTAGTCAGTAGCATACTAGGATCAAGGGCTACCAAGTTTGTTTAAATGTATGACCTTGAATCATATTCAAGGTCACAAGGAGCAAATATGTTAAAAATATTTTAACAACTTGTTCTGAATAACCAAAAGGCTTAGGATGTTGATATTTAGTTATTAGCATATGCTGGGATCAAGGACTACTATGTTTGTTAAAGTGAATGACTTTGACTTATATTCACGGTCACAGGGGTCAAATTTGTTTAAAATCTTGAAACAACCTCTTCTGAATAACCATGGGTCCTAGGATGTTTATACTTTGCAAGTTGCATCCTGAGATGAAAGGCTATACAATGTGTTCAACATAATGACTTTGTTCGACTTTCAATCACAGGGGTGAAATGTTTTAAAAAAAATTAACAGGGTCTTTTGAACGAATTTTAATCATAAATACTGATATTTTGCCTGTAGCTTTATTTTAGATCACTTTTAAGGTTACAAGTGTGAGTTTTATACCAGGTGAGCGATGCAGGCCCATTGTGCCTCTTGTTATTAGTTATACAGGTCCTTTTGAGTCTGGCATTGCATTCATTTATAGGGATTCAGAGGAAGTGTATTGTTAGACTCGACTTTGTGACATCACCCGTATTGATGAGGAGATATATTATCTAATAAAAAATGATTTTTTAATATTCGAAACTTGAGAACATTGAGTTAATCACTTGAATGTATAAAGAAAAAAGAAAAAAACGTCTAAAGGGAAAAATATTGTATGGGCATTGTTTTTTTAGAATTAATTTGTGGATTAGACTTCACTCATGAACAGTGGTCAGTAGAACCCAGATAGATCCCTTCATTCAGTGTTTAATTGGCAGGGTATCTGACTTGTCGGATAATAATGTATTAATTTTGTGGTGTTATATCGCCATAGAAATAAGGAGAAAGCTGTCAACAGTATCTAACAGAAATTTGCTAAGATTCACTCTACAAATACTGAGATTTGATGTCGATATCTTGCCATATAGATGGTCGTCATACCTGTAAGCTAGTCTGTCATGAGGGTGTATGTGGGACGTGCCCTGGAGAAACCCTCCTAAAATGTCGGTGTGGTGCCCTAGAGAAGGAATTTCCCTGCACAGAAGCTCAGAACATAACTGGTGAGTAGTCAGTTGTGTTAAATGCTGTTGAAATAGATTTTGACAATTCTTGTATCTGTCATGACAAATCTGTGTCCCCCTCCCCCTCCCCTTCAGATAGCTATAGATTTGCAGTGTCTGATATGAGATTATATAATTTGATAAACAATCATGATCAAATAAAATATGAAATTCTTATTGTATAACAGATTGTTTTATGATTGTGAATACTTTTTCTGCATTGAGCAAATTCCACTCACTGTATAGTATTTAATTTTGAAGTTTTTATTTGTATAAAAAACATATTCAACTACTTTTTCATTAAGTTGAAATTTCCACTATTTTAAGACGTTTGAATACTCAGATTACAATATTTTAAAAATCATTCTTGGATAAAACTTTGATGTGATGTGATGTTATATCTGGAAGAAATTGAATTCTTTCTGATTAACTCATTCACCCCTGAAGTTTCATAATGAACTGTTCCATCCTTTGAATTGGAAGAGTTCAAATGTGTCTTCAGGGGTGAATGAGTTAAGCAGGGATGTAGAATACTCTTGCCCATCACCTGATACATAAGTCAACCAGTTTACACCAGTTTAGAAGGCGTGGTAAAGTCTAGTGCCTGTGGTAGGACGCGGGCCTCGTGACCGAATAGTCGCAAGTTCAAGTCATGGCACTATGTTGTATCTTTTTGAGCAAAATACTTTACTCCACTAGTTCCAGTCTACTCAGCTGTAAATGAGTACGTGGTTGGGCAGTGCTTGAATTGTTGAATGCTTGCTGTGAGCACTGAAATGGCAGCACCGGCTGTATGCTCCCCAGGGAGTTGAGAAAGATATTGGCTGGTTGCAAAAGCACTATAACCACTGATAATAATTTGTGAACCGCTTTGAGATGACCTACGAACTAGGCTGTGATAAGGCGGTATATAAGAACCTCAAATTATTATTATTATTATAAGCCTAGGTAAGTGCAAAATTTGGACCCTCTTTTCCTTGGAAATACAAATAGCAGTAGAAGGATTATTCAGGATATGGATTTCTGAGATTGTTTTTTCCCTGGGCAAGTGCTTCACTGACTATCTTTACTCCTTAACATGTAGGAAAGAAAGTCTGTCCCTAAAGACATTGGCTGGGTAGTGGGATAACCTAATTAGTATTAATAGGATTTAAGAGATTCACTTGTAGATAAAACTGATGTGGTATGTTGAATTTTAATTTCTACAGAGGAGAATCCATTTTGCTGTGATAAGCGCTGTAACAAGAAGCGACTGTGTGGCCGCCATAAATGTGCACAGACGTGTTGTGTGGTGAGTATAAGAAAATAGGAACTTTTCAGGACATGATACAGCCATTTTGTGTAAAACAAATAATTCCATAAAGTTACTCATGTCAATAGTTTACTTCAAAAATTGTGATAATATTTTTCCCAATTCATTGAATAATTTCCGAAAGAGGGTACGAATGTTTTGAAATACTAAAAAAAAATTCCCTTTGGTTGGCATAGACACTTTAAAAACAAAAAGAAAGATCACTGGTTCAAGTAGACTATTATTGGTATTTATGAGTGGAAAATTTGTAAGTTAAGATACTTAGATATGAATTCCAGAAGTAAGTGTCACAAATGCTATATTATGTGATCTGGCATGGGAGCTTATTAAAGGGACTCTTGGTAGATCTTTGCTGTGAATTAAGTACATCCCTGTTAATTGGAAAAAATTAAGACATGTATAGTTGCAATATTTATATATAAAATGTTACGATATTGTTTGTCTTCAGGTGTAGTTGCACTATTTCTATATACAATATTTAGACATTGTTTGTACCTGAAGCGATATATTCTATTATCTCCAAGGTTGACCAGGAGATGATTACAATAATTGGAAAAATCAAGCTTTCCTCAATGAAGGGAGACAGTATAATGCAACAAAATTTATGGAGTTTTGTGGGAAAGTAACAATTTAGTTTCCATCACAACACAAACTTTTCCCCTCCCCACCCTAACATGGGAGATATGGAGGTTGTAAATAAATATTGTCTCAGAAAGAATATGATTGTAATTTACATCAGAACTTCAATCCCGCAATTTGTATAATTTTCTGAATGATATATATTGTATTGGTTCACTATTCCTCATTGTTGACTTATATTGTCATATATTGAAGCTGGAAAAGGAGAATCACTTCTGTGACTTCATCTGCGGGAAGAAACTGCCGTGTGGCCTCCACAAGTGTGACGAGCCTTGTCACCGTGGAAACTGTCCAACTTGTCTCTTAGCAAGTATGTTGGTGCCATAAACTGTTCATTTTGATTGAATTTACAATTACTGCTTTAAAATAGAATGCTCCATTATTGGATTTTTTCCATGGATTTGAATTCATAAAAGAAACCGTCACAGTGCTCTTCGGCCAGTTAAGAATATTTGGTGTTTCTGGTAACCATACCTAACCTAATTTTTAGTGCCTACCCTAAACTTTTTAAGGCAATTTTCAAAGAAGCACTGTTAAAGTTAAGACCACCCTCCTATATAAACCACATACAATTATTTTTAAAAATAAAACTTGTTTCTTACATACCTTCACTAAATATTTCCTTCTTTAAATATTTCCAACATGTTACAGGAAACACATATCTTTTTCTGTCTGGCTTTAGGACATGTTTGCTATTGAGAGATGAATATTTGTCAAATTTTTAATGTTGTATATGTATTCATCCCATGTAGTGAAATTTGTTTTCTGCTCACAATGAACATACAAGAAAAGCTTTTAATTTTACTTTTGAGTGAAATGAAAGTCTATCACAAAGTTTCAATAGGGAACATTGCAAAAAATAGATAGCAACAGACACTCTACGCCCAAGCTTTCTGACTTAGCCCTTCATCAGGGATTGAATGGTCTTCACCTTTATGTCACATCCATGTTTGAATACTGCCTTGGATGTAGTTTGAGTGAAGTATTCTGTACGTTACAGGTTTTGAGGAGCTGACTTGTTACTGTGGCAATGAGGTGAGATTCCCACCTGTTCCCTGTGGTACCAGACCGCCTGAGTGCTTCAAGAAGTGTACCCGCACTCACGCCTGCTCACACACAGGTTTGTACAGGTCATATAGGTCTTTGCTTGATTCTTTGAGCGGTTGAAATGTAGTAGTCTTTTAAGAAATGAATAGTATCTTGATACTTGAAGGAAGTATTCTTCTTTCTTGTATTTATGCTCAAGAAAGTTGTGACTGAAGATAACATGATGTCTTCCAGCTGATTTCTTTGTGACTTAATTTGTATATTTATTGTTTTTGCAAAGGTCCCTTAGGCCTGTGGGTAGGGAAAACTGCGATTTGGTCACATGTAAAAAGTCCCAGGGCCCAAGATTTGCTGTCAATGTAACAGATTATGACGTCATATTGATCACTGTGCAAAGAGGAATGAGATTTCTTACAAGAGCAATTCCTTTGTGTTTTAATTTAAGGCAATTATTGAGTTTTCAGAATGATAAAAACAAATGAAGGTTAGAATTTATAATGTATTTTGAGCCATGCTCTATGCCCTCAGCCCTGACAACTGTTTCACAAAGAAACAACAGTATATGACACCTATTCTAGTAATAACTTATTGATGATGGGATAAAGAACGATTTTTAGAACATCAGTGAGAACAGATTTGAGGAATTGAACATAGAACAGGGTAAAAATTAATTATGAATGATGTTAATACCTGGAAAATATCTTACATAAATATGCATTATGTTCCACAGTGCGCCATAACTGTCACAGTGATGAGAGTTGTCCACCTTGCACGGAGCTCACATCCAAGTACTGTATGGGGAACCATGAGGTAAGATCTCTTTGAGGAGCCTTGTCCCACTGCCAGAAATTGTAAATAAGTACATTATATAGGAAACTGTTATCCAGCATGGCTAAAGCTTAAATAAATAATTTCTAAACAGACCACCATTCCTCGCTGGACTTTTATGGGGAATAACAAAGATGAAATAAACAAAATATAATCAACAACAATATTGTTCTGTTTGTAAAAAATTATCGGGGTTAGACTGGGATTAAATAAGTATTCCGGTTTCCTCTCACAAGACCCCTGTGTGCTAACGTCCGGGCCAGCAAGAGTGATTAGAATAAGTTACAAAATCTGGTTTCATAATTTTTGTAAAATAATTAAAGTTTATATTTAAATGTGCTACAGCTATATCCAGACGGGGAGGTTAAGGGGAGGTTACTCTGTAAAGACAGCGCAGTAGCAAAGGGATCCTTAAATAAGGGAGGGAATGATTTTGTTTCCTACAATTTGTTTAAAAAAACACCATAAAGACATTATTATGGGGACAGTTGTTGATTATGTTGATCTCATGGGTTTATCAAAGGAGCTGAATAATTATGCTCTCCTCCTTTTTATATAACAAGGATATGCCTTATAAACATACACTTTTATAATGGTTTGAGACATCTATTAGCTCACCTGGTCCGAAGGACCAAGGTGAGCTTATGCCATACCGTGGTGTCCGTCGTACGTCCGTACGTCCGTACGTCAACAATTGCTTTAAACGACTTCTTCTTCTTAACAACTGGTTGGAATTGAACTAAATTTGACTGGAAGCATCCCTAGGTGGTGGGAATTCAAAATTGTACAAATGGTGGGGCTGACCCCCCAGGGGGCTTAGGGGCGGGGCCAAAAGGGGTCAATTTGCCCATATTGCTTTAAGCGACTTCTTCTCTGAAACTAAGAAGTGGATAGCAACCATATTTGACTGGAAGCATCCCTAGGTGGTGGTGATTAAAAATTGTACAAATGGTGGGGCTGACTCCCCAGGGGGCTTAGGGGCGGGGCCAAAAGGGGGCAATTTGGCTATATTGCTACAAACGACTTCTTCTGTAGAACTGTGCACTGGATATCAATCATATTTGATCAAAAGCATTCCTGGGAGGCAGGGATTTAAAATTGTACAAATGGTGTGGCTGACCCCCCAGGGGGCTGAGGGGCAGGGCCAAAAAGGGTATTTGGCTATACTGCTT